CTGAGCATGTATATTAATTTACATTCTAGATGAAGAGACTTTAACCAATCATTTAACAGAATAACAATGCATATGTATTAGGAAGATGAATATGGTAATGTTAAATGTATAAATGACTGTCAATTTGTGAAGGAGGTGTGCTGTCTTGGGACAGTCACCCATATCTGTGCAAATATGCAATAAAATACCTCTGCTCTGTGTGTATACTGGTGTATTGCGCACCAGGTAAACGAACCCCTGTTTTTGGGACAACACTAGGACTCTTCTGGCCGTCCTCTCAACATCTACTTACCTCCCAAAAGCCACAGATCTCAGGTACACATTAGCTCTGATGCTTTGCTGGCAAACGGAGGGCACACTGCTGTCTCTGCCGATAGTCGAGGAGAACAACCAGCTGACACCACAACCCAGAGAGGAGATGAGGACAGAGGTGTCACAGCATGGTGACAAAGGGTGGTTCAGACCACGGTATAGAGTTCATATCACCGACACTATGACAGCAACATGCAACAACCGATGCGCCAGAACAACGAGGTGTCACGCTGAGAGTTACAACACTACCACAGGACTGATGTCCTGGCCAACGCTGACCACACACGGCAGAAGGTATCCAAAGTAGGTCACCAAAAAACGCTTCAGGACTGTTAAGAGTTAATGGAGAAACCCAAATCTCAAATCACTACTCAGGTGATTGAAAAGCATTAGTCAGAGATGCTTGCAAGACATGGGATTTATGCAGGGAGACCGCTTGAAGACAAGTTCTGCCACACCAGTAACACAGCCTGCAGAAGAATATAACCTCAGTGTACGGATTTATCACTAAAACTGTTCCCAACCCACCTTTCACACCCTTAATGACAAGGGCCTGAACGGTAAAATTATTCTGTAGCTGTTCAGGATACTCTTACAAGGGTTCTCTGTTTTCTTCATGTCAGTTCGCTCTGAAAGCGTCATCCTCCTGTCGTAAGATCACCTTCTACAAAGTTGAAGCAGGAGATGTTCAACCCATGTATCATCCAAGATGCCTGTAAATTATATACCTCCTCCTTCCAACCGCTCCCTATATAGACCAGTGCATGAAATTCAGGTGTAGGCTAAAAGGATGATTGTAATCAAACCAAGAAAATACAAGAAAAGCATCCTCTCCCCTTTCTATGCCTCCCGGTAAGCGGAGGCATTACCTCCCCCGCAAAAATCAGGCACAGCACAGCCGAGGATCCAGACATTCCCTGACAGAGGGGAACTGCTGACTGGTTTTATGAAAACCTATAAACAAGTGGGGTTTCAAGTTTTCTGCAAGGGGTCAGCACCAGCATTGTGGTGTCTCTGTTCTGCCCACACGCTATGGATTTTGCCAACAAATCATGAGGAGAATTGTCAGAGCGGACAGGCAAAAACAGCGCAGGTTCGCAACAGAAATCTGCTCCGTATTTAAAATAAACAAAGAAAAAAGTCATACGACTGCTATTTGCAGTCAGGGTACAACTGAGGCCGCCGGTCCCTCTCTGCCAACGTGCTACGCAGCACGGTTTGGAACACCAACCTCAGTTCTAGGACATGGTGTACAGACAGAGCAGAGCTGACCCCTTGCCACTTCAGTCGCAACTTCACTGGAATATTCAAGACCTGGAACGTTTTACCAAAGGGACTGAGCATCGCAACACCCAGAAATCCACAGAAATACAGCACTGTCCTGTCTGCGGCTAAACCACAGAACGGCTTGGGTTGGAAGGAGCCTTCAGAGGTCACCTAGCCCGACCTCCCTGCAGCGAGCAGGGACATCTTCAACCAGACCAGGCTGCTCAGAGCCCCGTCCAACCTGGCCTTGAATCCTCCCAGAGACGGGGCATCGACCTCCTCTCTGGGCAGCCTGGGCCAGGGTTTCACCACCCTCGTGGTAAAAAACTTCTTCCTTGTCCCTAACTTAAGCCCACCCTCCCTTAGCTTAAAGCCATCACTCCCTGCC